GAAAAGCTGCTGAGTATTTCAAGTGTTAGCAGATTTATAGTGTTCATTTGGTGAATGCTTATTGATTAAATTATTAATTTTTTTTAGTAATCTAAAGTGTGTAAATCCAAGCAGCTGGGCAACATGAATTTTAAAAATGAATGTGCTTTGGAAATACCATATATGTGACTGATTCTGATGTCCCTTTTTGTGTGCATCATAAATATTGCAGTGAAAAACTTACTGCTTAGAAACTTGGAAATAGTGATTCCAGAGGTTGTTACAGAGTAGTCATAACAGGCAAGTTTGGTATTTGTAAATGTAACCATTTGCTTTGGAAATCTGATTCCAGTTGTAATCCAATATGTATGTTTCAGTCTTATAGATGAGAGGCAATCTAATTAGGCAATAACAGTACACCATGTGATATATGAACCCATCTGGAACAATTTGGATATAAATACCCACAGCAACTGCTCATGGGCTGAAAAAGAATTCTCTTTGACTGCAATCAACAAATCATTTTGAATTAATGAACACAAAACCACTCAAATCTGCTTGTGAACAGGAAGGCTTACATTGAACTGAATGTGTTATTCAATACAGGGAGCTCGCACAACATTTGTGGGCAATGGTGTATCCTAAGGAGTATCTCCTGCATCTTTTGTAGCAATATGTGGATGTATTCATTAACAAACAACACGTAGCAATTGGGACTCTAAATTTAAAGCTTGATTTGAACTAGAGACAGTAGTACAGCAGATTTAAATTTCTACCTGAGCTGAGGCAACTTGAAAAGCCTTGAAATAGATGCAACAGGAACAAATGTTTCTATAGACTCTGTAGTTCCCAGAAAGAACAGCCTGAAAGCTTTTGAAACTTATATTAGTGAAATAGGATGTTCTTGCTTACTGCTGCAAAATAAATTCACTGATAGTTAAGAAGAAAAAATCCACATCCAAAACATTTCAATGTTTTTATCTAGAGAAAAAAACATGGAACTTCTAAAACTTGTATTTTCCTCTCCTTTTCTATACTAGTTCCTTTTGTATGTTATTTTTGAAAAAGTATACTAGTATTGGTTAATGACCTTCCTCAATGAACACATTTAGTTACCAGAAAAATACTCTGCAAATAGCTCATGCCGTGCAGTTCTACCACTGCTTCCTAACCTTGACAATAAAACTTAGGTGGACTGGAAGGGAGGCTGTCGAGGGATTCCTGCTACAGGCTGCAATCTACTGAATGCACCTTGTACGAGTACCTTGAGCGTACTCAGAGTTCATTTTTTCTCTCAATATCATGTTTTTATAGGGAAGACTTGAGACAAAGGTATTACAAATCTCTGTTCATGAGATGAGTTGTGAAGATCTGTGCTTAAATGTAGTCATGTTTAGCTTTTTGTCACACTAGCTTTTTTTTAAATTTTTTCACAAGTTTAGCCAATATCAAGGGAATGACAGAGAAAACTGATGCTGTCTCTGGAGATGTGAAAGTTAAACCTGTCCTATACCAAGGGAATCTCACTGCAAAATAGCAGTTCAGGGTGCAATGAAGTCTTTTCATCAGATAAACACTTTAGAGGCAGACTCCAGTAGGAGCCTGACCTGAAGTAGTAGGATCTCTTATATGTGAGAAGGACTCTTGTCTCATAAGATCTTAAGATCAGGTGATCTTTCCTGATGCTGTTGGACTGTAGCTGTTTTAGAGCATCATGTCCCTCTCAGTAGGAAGCTAGCTCTGTACCTGTCTGTTTTCCTTAAATCACCTCAACAAAAATAAAGAATGTGGATAGAAGGTTGCAGGGCAGATGTGAGAATGCTACAGTGCTGCAGCAACAATCACACAGAAGCACGTGCACTGCATTCAGACTGGTACCCTGAGCTATCTTATTGGCACAAACTGAGGATGATCTTATTTCCTCTACATTCAGTGAGGGGTGTCAGGAAGCCTATAATGAATTTTATAGTGACCAGGACACTTTCTGAAAATGGTTGTTCAGCAATAGTCATTTGAATGCAGCCTGCTGTCAGTCACAGCTTTTGCTTCACTACTTGTTTAACTGTGTAAGCCTCTGTGCTTTTGAGGCTGAGGCAGAGATGGATTGACACCATATATCATTGTAATCTTTTGTTAAAGCAATGCTCTGATTTCCTTTCAATGCGCAGATTTCTTAATTTGTTGTACAGAAATATCCTGTAACTTCAGAGGAGAACTACAGGAATTGTCAAGGTGTTTTTGACACCCCTACCCCACCAAAATATGGTGAGATTATCAATGGATTACTTGACCAGAATGTCATATCCTAACACACTTAGTAAAGTGAAATTGTTTCACTAATTAAAGACACATGTGTGAGGAAGCCACTGTTGCTTCCTCAATATTTGTAAACCAAGGATTGTAAGTTATGAGGATGTTTTGTACATTTCTATTGCTGTATTTTTATATACAGCTTTTTAAGATTTATACTCTACATTTAAAAACAATAAATTAATCTTATTACAACTGTATTGTTCAAACTTACATTCATGTATCAATGCTTATCAACACTGATTTTATAACAGTCACAGTTAGAAAAGACAGTTTATTAACAACTATACATTTTTTGTATGTATGTCCTGCAAAATTTGTACATGAGCAGACAGAGGACTTTACAGCATGTTTGTAATATACCACCATCAGGGTAATATGCTTAGATTCTTTTTTTTTTTTTTTGCATGTCCAACTATCCTGAATCTTCTCAGCAGAGTTGTTAAACACCTGTGAAGATTTTGAATTCCTAAAACAGTATTTCAGAGGAAAAAATAGAAAAATATTTTTATAGGCATTGCATGACACTTGTTGGATTACTATACAATTTTTTTTTTTAAAGGAAAAGTGAGAGTACAACTATGGCATGATGGAAAATAGAGCTGGGTTTTTTTTGTTGTTGCTGTTGTTTTTTGGTTTTTGTTTTTTTTTTTCAGACACTCAGACCATTGAAAAACATGAACTGGGATTTAAAAGGAAAACCATTAATGAACAGGGCTTTTTGGATTTAAAATCAGGCCTTGGAGAGAAAAAAAGTTTGAGTCTGGAATTGTGATACATTTTTATCAGAGTACAGTACCCTATGACCAGGTCCTTTAGTTGTTCCACTTGTGGAGGGTTTAATGTTAAATACATTAACTTATTTGAGGATGTTTGACCTTATGCAGGATTTTCAATCACAATACAAGTAGAAATTACACTTATCAGAATATAGCAATTGACTATACAGATGAATCACAATCACAGAATCACAGAATGTTAGGGATTGGAAGGGACCCCAAAAGATCATCTAGTCCAATCCCCCTGCCGGAGCAGGAACCTAAATGAGATCACACAGGAAGGCGGCCAGGTGGGTCTCGAGTGTCTCCAGAGAAGGAGACTCCACGACCTCCCTGGGCAGCCTGTTCCAGTGCTCTGTCACCCTCACTGTAAAGAAGTTTCTTCTCAAGTTTAAGCGGAACCTCCTGTGTTCCAGCTTACACCCATTGCCCCTTGTTCTACCATTGGGCATCACTGAGAAGAGCCTGGGTCCATCCTCCTGACATTCGCCCTTAACATATTTATAAACATTAATAAGGTCACTCCTCAATGCAAACATGATTTTCATTACTCTTATACTATGCTCACTGTCACAATGCTGGACATCCCCAGTTGCTCAGAAGGAATGTGTACTGACATCAGCTGAGGCCTTTCTCTCTTCAAACTTCTCTTTGTTAATTGCTCAGCTTTGGTCCTGTGTTGGGTTGAGCCACATACAGACTCCCCTGTGCTGGTCTGGCGAACTCAGGAAGACATTCACATTCTTTTGCTTCAGTTTTGGTTAACTGTTTGAGAATAAACATTCATACAACCAGTTGATCCACACAACTGGTGTAGCCACTTATCTAAAACAAAGGCTGCCCTCTGGTCCCTTTTGTATGAAGTTCAGCTTTCTTTGCAACAGTGATGGTCAGTGGATTTTGACTGAATTGGGTGGGAAAGTATAATAATGCCTAACGTTTTCAAATGTGGATAGAGGAGTATTTTTAGATGTATCTAGCTATGGAAAATTTTGGGAAATAACCTTTTTTTTTTTTTTTTTTTTTCCTGCTGAAGGTGTTTCATGCTGAACCAAGTTACTGTATCTTCTGCAGAGAAGAGTTCATTGAATACCACAGTACCAACACAGTGGTATTTTTTCTTGTATGTGAATCTCCAGTACAAAATATTTTGATCTTTCTAAAGTCAATCACAAAGCTCCTGTTAGGGTCACTGGAAGATGATCTTATGCTTAGCACTAAGATACCAAGCTATAGAACATTCATCTAAGCAATACATCCTCCTGAAAGTACACATTCAATTGGAGTCTAATGTTCACTGGTATAGAAACTTTGGTAGAATTTAACTTGGTCTCTTAGAGATTTTCTCCTTTTTAAAAAAATATTTTTGGTATATATTTGAAAAATGGTACTGTTGCAGACAGAGCCAAAATTCATTCACATGAACTTCCATTTTGTCTATTTGCCTGGAATAGTATAAATTGTAAAACTGAATAGACATGGGACTCATTAAGTCTTCATTATAATTATTTTTTTATCAGATCTTATGTAATTTTATTATTGTAGAATTAATATACTCGTAATAGAAAATATTGTACATTTCAGCTTCCGTCAGTAAAGGATCCTGTTACATTTAAGTATGTGAAACATAAATGTCACAGGTCAAATACAGCTGAAACAGTGTTTTTCATGCCATCGGCTTATTTTAGGTAATCCCTACAAACATTGCCAGGCATAAGATGCAACTGTGCTTTTGGACTGAGGCATACATGTCTTCAAATTCCTCTTTCTCTCCAAAGCAGAGAAGTAATTGATGCCTAAAAGTCTTAAAATGCTTATGGCTAGGGTTCATCAGTGGAATTATGTTTTCTTTCCTGTGGTACGAATATCTCGTCCCAAAGTAGGAGAGCCTTGTCCAGTGCTGCCCTTCCAGCAACTGTCACCGTGAAGCACTTAGGAATAATCATCTACTGATGTGTGCAGTGAACTGATGAGACTTGAGGCTGTGGAGACAGTCTTGGAATTCCTCCGTGAACAGTCATTGAAACTCGTGTCCCTCGGAGCTGCTCTTTTCTTACGGCTGGCGTGGGTGTTGTCTCCATCACTAGTGTCGAACACCACTGTCATGCTGGACTCCATTCTGGACACAGTGTATAGGCTACTTTGCCGGGTGGGATGAAACCTGGCTGCCTTGAGCTCCAGTTCATCATAGCTGGTCACCTCAATGAAGGGGCACCAGCGGAAAGCTCTCTTGAAGCCAGCTCGGAACCTGGGAGGACAGATGCTTGGTGAAAGCCTGTGCTTGCAAGAGGCAGCCACAGACCTTCATCTGAAAACATACAGTGTGCAGACAGGACACTGATTCAGCTAATTATCTTGCCCCTAATCCAGTTTGTGGTGAAGTCAGTGGGAATTTGCTTGACTAAATTCTGAGCAGGGTAAAAAAAGACAGTGGTGGCAGCTTATATCTGTTTCTGATTTTCTATATACTTTCCCTGCATTTTAACATTGGTATTTTCCTGATACTCCATTTCCCTTCTTTTGCCCATGCCTAAATAAACAAACACCAGCTTTCGTAGCACTGTCTTCACAGGATTGTTTTTAATTTGACCTGTAATGAAATCTGCACCCATGTTTTCCTCTCCTCTCAGCAAGAAACTTCTAGCATTCTGTTCTCTAAAATACCATCCCAGATTCCAGTATCCCTTCTGTGTCTCCCTCTTTAACAGAGACTTAAATGGGAATGATGTAATGATTAATAATTTTTCATATAAAATATTTGGAAAATAATTTGTAGTAATTAAAGAGATCCTAGAAAGTTAAACACTGAATGTGAACAATGCATAAACAGGAATTTCAAGGCTCCAGCACTAATGTGCTTGCAATATTCATACAGGGTTACTTTTTATTGCGATTCAGAGGCAAATATTTCCTATAAAGACTATTACTTTTTGTGTGTATGCATTTCCAGAATAGAAGTTAAATATATTAGAAAAACAATTCACGGTATGTTTATGTGTAACCTGAAAAAGAACACCTTTTCATCTAGACATAAAATTTATCAGACTTTTTCACTTGTCTTGCTTCTCTTGTTTTTGTTTCAAGTCAGCTGTGTTATTTGTGTCTGTAAACATTTTGGAGGAAGGGTTCAGCTGCCACAGTGATAACTACAGATAAAAATTAGATTAAGATTTTGGTGAAAGTTGAGTGATGTCAGAAATAACTTTCTTTCCTCCTGATTTGGTTTTTTTTTGTTTGCCACAGAGCTCTCACATGGCGACAAGTGAGCAGGTAGCTTGCTGTTCAGCATTTCTATGTTTAGATGCAATCCACGTTACGAAAAATATAGAAAGAACCTCTGATGGAAATGGATTTAGTGAAGGAAGCTGTAAAACCTAAATATCTTTAGACTGTATAATTTTTGTCTCACCTTCTATCCTCTTTCTCATTCAGGACATGTTTTTTCTTCATCTTGAAATAATGCTCTCTTTATCTAGATATGTAAGCAATATCCTAATTAGCCTGGAAGATGAGGCTGGGGATAGGTGCTGTAACTTGGTCTGATACTAGATCCAGCAGAGATAACAATACTGAGTGAATTGATCTGACTCCCAGCAACAGGCTGTATTTTCCTACTGCATGAAAAGGAAGCAGACATTCAGGGTTCTTGATTTAAATATGGAACTTAAGTATAAGACAACTTTTACTAGTATTTCATTCTTGCATTGAATTCTGAACAAGGTGAGCTTTAGTGTGTCTCAAAATTATGAAATTTTTATTGATTTGTGTTCTTTAATCCACTTAATTTCACAACATGAGTGTCAACATAAGCCACATCAGATAAATTATTTTTTTTATAAATAACATCTTTTGCAGTTCTGCCATTAAAAGTTTTTGAAGAAAGTGTCCATGTTTTAGAGGTTTATGGTAGTAACTGAGAAAATGTGAGGCCTATTTCTTCCTCACCTTTGATTTTGCAGACACTGGACACCCAGTGAAATCTAGTTTCTGTTGAAGTTTATGGTAAATTTGCCGATTGAGTTAGGATTTTGTTCTGGCATACTAAAACTTTACCTCTTCTTTAAACAGTTGTAAATGATCAAAAGGCACAGAAGGCTGTATGAAATCAGTCATTACCTTGACATTTTAAAAGACTATGACTGTTAAACATCATAAACTATCCTCATAAAAAAGGCAGACTCCAGCGGTTTTGCACCAGTAAAAACTCAGCAGCATTTGCTCACTTCATTTTCGATTAGACTCCTTTTGACAGGTATTGCATGATCTTTACTGGGGTTTTATAAATATTTAACAAAATTGGTATAAAGCTTGTCAGCAATTAAACTTGACACTAGATGATACTGAAGAGTACTTGTTCAATACTGATTCATACTGACTGAGTTTGTGAACTGATTCATTGTTGTTAGTGGTCTTTATCTGGTAATACTGGAAGAAATACTGAAAAATAGGATGGCCAGGATGATGAGTGTTTAGATTCTGATCCTACAAGCTGAAATGAAAAACATGAGTTCATTTTGCAATTCAGTAGTCTCAAACTGTTAAATATCTGTAAAATCTCACCAAACTCAACAAGTGGAGTGCCTTTTAAATTCAGAGCATAATGCGTTGCTATCAAACAGTACTGTAATTTACTGTTGAGTAATGAGATTATAAATATTTGTTTTATTAGCCTGTTACAGACCTCAGAGCTCAGTAGAAATCTAATGGCGAGATATAAAATACACAGTAAAACACATTTTATATTATATCCTTCCAGCACTGCAAAACAAATTTGTGGCTACAATTAATGAACATACAGATTGCACTGTATATCACTAATGACTGTCTTTATTTCTTTATTTTAATGTTTTGCAAGCCAAAAAATATTAAACTGCTATAGATTTTAAATTTTGCATATGGAAATGGGAAGAGTTGATTTCTGAACACAATTTTGCTCTGAAATTTTAAGAAGACTAAAGTATTTACTGGAAGTGTGCGTGTGGTTTTTTGGGATTCATTTCAAGTACAAAACTAAAGGAAGTTTTTTATTTTGTTTTGTTTTCTTTCCCACTGCTTGAAAACCATTCAAGTGAAAAAAAAAATCCCATTTAAACTATTTATATTCTCATTGAAGTTATACATACCAGCTGTTTCATAACAGGGTCTTACCTCTTATTAAGGCAGCAGTAGATGATGGGATTGTACATCGTAGAGCTCATGGCAAGCCAAAAGCTGGCCAAATAGATTTGCTGAATGTATTTCCATCGATTTAATTGTTGATAGATCCCAGTAACTATGAAGTAAATGTGGTAGGGCAGCCAGCAGATGGCAAATGTCAGCACAACAACAATCATCATTTTTACCACCTGAAAGAAGGAAGTAATAATGCAGCTTTATAAAATGTATTAGCCTTTTTTTTTTTAGACTAGCATTTCAACGTCCATTAATAATTTTCTTGCATCTGATTATTAAAGTTAGTAAAAGCAAATATGAATATGCCTTTATATAATTTTATTTTTAATCTGACTTTCCTAAATTTCTAGGGGGGGTGGGGGGTGTTGCCTTTTTTTTTTTTTCTCTCTTGACTGGAGGTCCTCCTTTTCCTAAGGAAAATAACATGAAAATCTTCTCTAACTTTTTTTGTATTGATTTTTCCAAGAGATGTATTTGCTTACTTATATTTGGCTATCTAAAATATTACTTTTTTCTGTACATTCAGTCATGGAATAAGGTTACAGGTTGTTTTATTTGGACACTTCATTTTGGCCTTTATTGACCCTGGTGTCGTCTTCTGTTGTGGTCTGCAATTATATTCCTTGTCCTCAATTATTAGATGTGATTTGAGTAAACACTAGGTTGTAGGAAATGAGCAACTGCAGTATTCTGTTTAATTTCAGAGGCTAACAATTTCCTTGTCTGGTGATCATTATTTATTGTTTTTTGCAGGCATTGTAACATGTGTTAGGTTCCATAGTTTCCATTAAGCACAAATGAAGAGGAGCTCTGTTTTGTGCTTGAAACACAAGAAGAAAAGTTGCAAACCATGTAAAATTTTCACTCCTGTCTTTCCCTCTTCAGATACGTTAAATATGAGCCCAGATACCATTTTTAACATCCTATGTCACATGTTTACACAACAGATTTTATTTTTGTAGGTAAAATGAAATGAGACATGATAGGTCTGTTCTAGGAGGTCTCTTTTATATTTGTACTCTGAATACCAGGGAATAATAGGGATTACTATTAACAGTTTCTTTAATTTATCTGTTAGGTAAATCTTAAATTTACCTTTTAGGTAAATCTTTATCTTGTTTATCTGTAAGGTGCTGTTTCCGACTGTTTTTAGGTTTTTTTTTGGGGGGGAGAGGGGGAAAGAGCTGAAATTTCCCATACCTACATGTCTTTGATATTTTAAAAAGAATTCAGCTAACATAATTAAATCATTTTACATATAAATGTCATGGTAATGTCCTTAACTCATATTACATCTTCCTATGGGAAATATAAAACAATTTTTCATTTAGTATCTGGCACCAATTTACAAGCTTTCCTGCTGGCTGGAAATCTACTGTACAACATTTTGCTTTGCTTGCTAATAAAGAATGCTTATTTTTACTGATACACATATTGATCATCTCTTAAAGATAAGAAAGGGGCATCTGTCCACACATACAACAGCATAGTTAGTATTTGGTTCTTCTAAAGCACTTTATGTTAGTGAACTGTGAATCATTGCAGAAGAAAGATCAGTATTATAAGGGAAGGCAACACACCAAAATGTAATCACTTTCACCTTTGCTAAGTGTACATCTATATGTTTATATCTAGGCATGTGTAGATGTATATGGACTGTACATGAGATGTTTTTTGGGGGAGGGTGGAGGTTGTAACTCTATGTGAATAGACATTTCTGGACTAAATTATACAATTGAAATGATGCCATAAAAAGATGTTGTCAAATCTCAGTCTATTGTCAAATGGCATGTGTTTTCTACTCCTTTGGACATATCTTCCACTACTCTTCTGCTGGGGATTTACACCGGTGCCTTGCATACACTGTGCAGGTAGAAGGCTTAACTCCATAGTTTTACGCCAATATTTAAGCACTCTACCCATTGATTTACAGGTGCACTTCACTTGTTGCTGTGTTTTTATAGCTACCAGGAATGACAAGTATTACTTCAACACTGTTCGGGATTTCTGTAATTTCAGAACACTTGAGAGTCTAATTACTTACCTTAATATTTAATTAGCAAGTCTTGCAGTACCAGCTGTGTATATGAAATTATTCCTGTAATTATTTATCATTGGTATATCACAGGTACTAAATGGAAGGATTTGAGGATTTTTGTCTCCGTATTTTCAAAGTGTAATCAGGCAAATCCATATTTATACTGAACATTTCATCTGTACAAGGCCTAAGAACTGAAACGGTGAAGATTTCCAGAAATACATTTGCTTAATCTGGTTGAACACTCCGTCGCTCATGCCCGAGCTGCTAGAAATCACAGTAAGGGTGCAGGTTGCCAGTCTGGCATACTAAATTGTGTTAATAATATTTTCAAAAGAAAGTTTTTTATCTTTTTTCTGACATCCAAATTCTTATTGGCCAGTTTTCTGTGTTATATCGAAGGACAAGGCAAGCAGTACTTCAAGAGCCTACCTAAAGGTCCCCCAGAGCTAATAAACATTCTCAGGCTGTACAAATAATAACTTTTTGATTTCAACCACTGCACTCAAAAATTAACATAAAATGAATTGAGTTTTGGTTTAAACCAAATGTAATATTTCAGGTCTTCTTCAGGGAAACAGAAATCCCAAAATAACTATTTACAGTATGAGCCAAAGAAAATCCTCAACTAGAAATTTTTTTTGTCACAATTTCAGGCAATTTGATTCTTATTTTAAACCTTGTAACTTTTGGGTTTTTTTAAATTTTTAAATGAAAAATACCAAATCACCCCTAGAAAATCATATATTTTCCTGCAAGGTTACTGTTTCATTTAAAATAAACCACTCATCTTTAAAAACAGTGAAATCAGCATAAAATTTTCTTCTTGCTGTTTCTGTCTGGAAATCTATGATTAAATATTAAGTCATCATCATCGTGAAAGCAGAAATTTCTGAAGCAAATAGTTAAACAAGATAAGCAAAATAAGATTTTAGATGGCCTTTAGTGTTTGTTTAATTTGTGAAGTAACAATTACTGGAATGACAGACAGTGAAGCACACCATGTTCTTAATCACTCGGGTTTGTAGCTGTTTTTCATAAATAGCGAAAATTACCTAAAAATGTAAAGTACCATTTTCCTCTCAGATAAGGCTGTATCAACCTGAGTTCCACTGAAGTCAACGGTAATATACTGATAGATGCATGTTTAGAGGGAGATGTGCGATGATATTTCCTTATTAATGTGTGAAGTGTTTTCTCCTGGAACAAGAAGTGCTGATTTTTCCAGAAAAAAGAGACATTTAAGAAAAGTCAAGGGTGAGTTGTCATTCTTTTGAGTCTTTATATACTGCAATGCAGTCATTGACTTATTACCGAAGGAGAAGACAAGTGAGATGTTGCAAGTCTGTAGCATAAAGTAGAAATACATTTACATGGGAATTTGAAGTCAATCACAGAAGTTATGAAAGGAATCAGAAAGTGCTATTCCGTCCTCATTTCAACAGCTAAGAATGAGCATGTGTTGAGAGAAATGGAGGAGTAACTTGAAAAGGAAGGTGATTATTCCCAATTTCCTTTTCCTCTTTTAGAGACAGGCACACACAGTGTGCAAGGCCATACCTACAGTTTATGGCTGCAGTTCTTGTCCATCCCCTTGGTCTTTCCAGTCTGAAGTTTCATTTCTTGATGATACCAATAACTATGAACAGGAACTGCATTCAAGGTCTATAAACCCAGGGCACCTTGATTTTACTTGGCATAAATCCTGATGAATGAGTGCCAGAAAACTGTAAAGCGCAATTACAACACGGGGAAATTAAGTGAAACAGGTCAAGTATGAATTTGTGGCAAAAGCCCGATTGTCTCTTCCCAGTACACTGTGATGTTTCAGTAAAAAATCTCCAATGACACTTTGCAGGTTCAACTGCAGAGTATAAAAGAGATCCTCAGTAGGTTTTTTTTGTTGTTGTTTGGAGTACTTAGACCTGTGACTCTAACAACACAGATTTCTTTTATTTTTAATTTTGAATATTCTTGTTCTGATTTTTTTTTTTTAGATATTGCCATTTTTCAATTGATTTCTCATCTGTTCTGTGTGGCATATAATTTGTTGTATTGAGTTGTATTGAGTCTCTCAGTTGTGCAACCTTTAGGCAAGTCTTGAAGCTAGATTTGGAATATGATGGAAAATCAAAGTATTTTATATTTATATCAACATGTTCTGCTGATATTGATGTACTTTTGCTTATGTCTAAGAAAAACTATGTCTATAGAAAAAAGCTAATTTATCTGCTTTGTAGTCTTTCCTGTTCCTTTAATTTCTACCTTTCTGAGTAAGAAGCATTCTTTCATTAATGAATAATATGTAATGAGAAAGCAATATATTTAAAATAACAAAACAGACAAGTTCATTGGAATTGTTGCTTTTGTTGTGAAACATATGAAGCAGTAAAAGTGAAAAGGAGCCAACAGATTCTGCTACACTCGTACTTCCCTCCTGTTTTTATTTTGTATGAAAAATAGCTAGAAAAAATAATCTAATTTAGTTGTAGCGTTGAGAAGGACTCTTGAAAGTTTAGGGGTAAAATATACTTTTCTGAGAGACTCAGTTGATGCTGGAGGACTATAGCAATTCACGTTGCAAGACATTGATTTGCTATCAATACCTAAGACTTAGACCAGAGAATAATTTCCTTTTCAATCTGCTCTGCAGCTCCTTATTGCCTTTCTCAGTCATCTTTGGTATTGCTGCTTATACAAGGTCAGGAATTTGGCTTCTGATTTCATTTGCACCAATATTACACAGTATAACTTAATGAATTTCAGAACTTTTACTTCTAGGTGTTATGCAGATGTAAACGAGAAGCAGAGAAAATACTTTAAGAACCCATACAGTGTAAGAACGTCTTGGTTTACCCACTCATGAATATTATTTGTCCATGTGAATACAACTGAAACACAATTCACAGATAACCTCTGAGAGTCGGAATGGTTTTTTTCTTTCTGCTCTGTGCTCTTTTAGAAGAAGTAAAATACCAACTAATATTGCACAAAGTATTTCTCCCAACGTGTTAGGATGCAATCAGTAAATCCACTTCCCAATCCCGGGGACATATATGGCACTTGAACGCTAAGCACCAGAGAGAAGGGAACACTATTATGTCTTTTGCTTCTCCACAACACTTAGCTGGAGTA